GGACTTCCTGGCTGCAATTCTTACTTTTTTATCCTTGGGAAAAGGCACCCGACAGGGTTACCCGCTCTCACCCTTACTATTTGCACTGATTTTGGAACACTTGGCAATTGCCAAAAAGGTCACACCCTGATATCTCGGGATACCCGCTCTTGGTCTCTCAATTTAAGTTAAGTTATGTATGCTGATGATGTCATGCTCTTCCTTACTAACCCTTTAGTATCCTTGCCTAATTTATGCTCGCTGTTGAATGATTTTGCATCCATATCAGGTCTCTCCGTAAACTTTTCTAAATCTGTAGTTATGCCTATAAATATTACTGAGCCTCTGGGGGTGTCCCTCTGTGGTTCTTTCCCATTTCGCTGGGCCACGGACCGGATTCTATACTTGGGTGTTTATTTTATGCCCAAGGACGCTGGGCTTTTTGCAGCCAATTACCCACCATGTGTGTCACGTCTTTATACTTTGTTTAAGATTTGGCATGGGTACATATTTCGTTTTTGGATAGAGTCACGGCGGTAAAAATGATAATTTTATCCAAACTTCTTTATTTATTTAGAGCGCACTCAATATCTGTCTCTAAAACGTTCCTTGATCACGAGTGATTAACAACTTTATCTGGCAAAATAGACGTCCTTGCTTCACCTCTCTTGTGCTATATAAATCACAACGAATAGCGGGCTTAGGCCTTCCTAATTTTTGGCTTTACTACCTATCTGCCCGTTTTTCTCAACTGGCACAATGGGTGACTATTAACTCCCCGACTCCTTGGGTCAGATTTCAATCCCAATCCATACGCCCTTTTTATTTACCGGGTTTATTATGGACAAATATTCCGCCCTGCTCATTGTCAAATTATAATTCGATTCTGTTTCACTCTCTGACTAAATTGGGTCTTATCTCTTCAGTCCCGCTGGGTTCAACATTTTTCAGAGACATAAATTTTGCCACGGGGTAATTATGTCCACAGGCTTTTCGCTGGTGGTATGATCAAGCTCTTATCAGACTAACGGATTTTCAGATAATAGGTGGCTCTTTTATATCCTTTGATATGTTAAGTTCGCTTTTCTATATACCGCTTCATGAACATTATCGTTTTCTGCAAATACAATATTTTTTCAGCTCTCATTTTGGATTGACGCCCTCGTTTCCCTTAACTTATTTTGAACGTATCTGCAGTGACTCGCCTAGGGGCAGGGTTCTTATCTCAGATTTATATCGCTCTTTTTCAAATGCCATTTATCCCTCACCTCCCTCGTATAGACTGAAATGGGAGGTGGATTGTAATATTACATTCTCAGATGAGGACTGGGACTCCTTGATCTGGTGTAAGATTTCGGAGGTGGATTTGTCACTGCAACATTGCTTATTTGTGCATCCATTTCCGGGGTTCCAACCAACCTAATGAGGCTAATTCACACTATTTTGCGTTTCCACCATATGGGCCATTGCCGTTCATTGGAAGTCACCGGTAGTCCCTCTGGCCTCTGTTTTGCGGAGAGTCGATATGGTCATGCTCATGGAACGTATTTAGTATACATTATTGGATAGGGATAGGATGCATTTATTCAACAGAAAATGGGATGATTGGAAAACACATTGATGCTTAATGTTGGATTGAATGTCTATCATATGCTGATTTGTACTGATTCCTTGTTAGTTATGCGGTTATTCTGCCTATATTACTGCCTACCTCTTTCATGTACTTGATCTTTATTTTTTTATGATTGTTTTTATGTTACTGTAAATTACCTTTATGCGTTTTTCTTATTGTGCATTCTATATCATGATGATGTGTGATTTTTGTAGTTTTCCTCTCAATAAAAACGTTTGTGAACAAAAAAACAAACTTAAAACAAGTAAACATAATATACCTTCCTATATATTTAATAAGGCTAGCAGAATAAGGATTAAAAATAGTCAATGCTGATTAAGCAAATAACATTCTGCTTTAAACTACTTTTTAGCACACACCAAAAGTGCTATTGCAACATGCTGTATCAGCCCATAAATATAATGTACCGTATTTTTCGCTCCATAAGACGCACTTTTTTCCCCCAAAAAAAGGGGGGAAAATGTCAGTGCGTCTTATGGAGCGAATATGGAGCGGCCGGTCCGGTATTTCCACCGCCGCCGTGTCAAAATACTGGGCCGGCCGCTCAGCTATGCAGTGGGACCTTACCTGTTCCTCTATCCAGCGGTGCGCTGTCTTCCCGGCTTCTGTAGTGTGCGTGACAGCCGGGTCCCAAGTGCGCATGCGCAAGAAGCGGTGCTCTTTGTGAACGGTAAGGCGGTACATGGGACACATGAGCGATCCCAGAAGCCGCCGGACCAATCACAAAGCGCAGCGCTTCTCGCTAATGCGCACTGGGCATCTGGCTGTCTGCCGAGCGCCCACACTACAGAAGCTGGGTAGACAGCACGCGGCTGGATAGAGGAACAGGTAAGATCAAAGAACAACTCCGCGGAAGTAAGAGCGGGTACCTGTCAAATTCAGGTACCCGCTCCCCCCCTCCCCAAAGGTCAGCAGTCATCTCCTGTACTGTCCGCAGTCTCTGGTCATCTACTGTACTGTCCGCAGTCTCTGGTCATCTCCTTTACTGTCCGCAGTCTCTGGTCATGTCCTGTACTATCCGCAATCTCTGGTCATCTCCTGTACTATCCGTAGTCTCTGGTCATCTCCTGTACTATCCGCAGTCTCTGGTCATCTCCTGTACTGTCCGCAGTCTCTGGTCATCTACTGTACTGTCCACAGTCTCTGGTCATCTCCTGCACTGTCCGCAGTCTCTGGTCATGTCCTGTACTATCCGCAGTCTCTGGTCATCTCCTGTGCTATCCGCAGTCTCTGGTCATCTCCTGTACTATCCGCAGTCTCTGGTCATCTCCTGTACTGTCCGCAGTCTCTGGTCATCTCCTGTACTGTCCGCAGTCTCTGGTCATGTCCTGTACTATCCGCAGTCTCTGGTCATCTCCTGTACTATCCGCAGTCTCTGGTCATCTCCTGTACTATCCGCAGTCTCTGGTCATCGCCTGCAGTCTCTGGTCATCTCCTGTACTGTCCGCAGTCTCTGGTCATCTCCTGTACTGTCCGCAGTCTCTGGTCATCTCCTGTACTGTGTCCGCAGTCTCTGGTCATCTCCTGTACTGTGTCCGCAGTCTCTGGTCATCTCCTGTACTATCCGCAGTCTCTGGTCATCTCCTGTACTGTGTCCGCAGTCTTTGGTCATCTCCTGTACTGTCCGCAGTCTCTGGTCATCTCCTGTACTGTCCGCAGTCTCTGGTCATCTCCTGTACTGTCCGCAGTCTCTGGTCATCCCTGTACTGTACGCAGTCTCTGGTCATCCCTGTGCTTTCCGCAGTCTCTGGTCATCCCTGTACTGTCCGCAGTCTCTGGTCATCCCTGTACTGTGTCCGCAGTCTCTGGTCATCCCTGTACTGTGTCCGCAGTCTCTGGTCATCTCCTGTACTGTGTCCGCAGTCTCTGGTCATCCCTGTACTGTGTCCGCAGTCTCTGGTCATCCCTGTACAGTGTCCGCAGTCTCTGGTCATCCCTGTACTGTGTCCGCAGTCTCTGGTCATCTCCTGTACTGTGTCCGCAGTCTCTGGTCATCTCCTGTACTGTGTCCGCAGTCTCTGGTCATCTCCTGTACTATCCGCAGTCTCTGGTCATCTCCTGTACTGTGTCCGCAGTCTTTGGTCATCTCCTGTACTGTCCGCAGTCTCTGGTCATCTCCTGTACTGTCCGCAGTCTCTGGTCATCTCCTGTACTGTCCGCAGTCTCTGGTCATCCCTGTACTGTACGCAGTCTCTGGTCATCCCTGTGCTTTCCGCAGTCTCTGGTCATCCCTGTACTGTCCGCAGTCTCTGGTCATCCCTGTACTGTGTCCGCAGTCTCTGGTCATCCCTGTTTTGTGTCCGCAGTCTCTGGTCATCTCCTGTACTGTGTCCGCAGTCTCTGGTCATCCCTGTACTGTGTCCGCAGTCTCTGGTCATCCCTGTACAGTGTCCGCAGTCTCTGGTCATCCCTGTACTGTGTCCGCAGTCTCTGGTCATCCCTGTACTGTGTCCACAGTCTCTGGTCATCCCTGTACTGTGTCCACAGTCTCTGGTCATCTCCTGTACTGTGTCTGCAGTCTCTGGTCATCTCCTGTACTGTGCCGCAGTCTCTGGTCATCTCCTGTACTGTGTCCGCAGTCTCTGGTCATCTCCTGTACTGTGTCCGCAGTCTCTGGTCATCTCCTGTACTATGTCTGCAGTCCATTAGTTCAGAATTTTTTTTTTCCTGTTTTCTGCCACTAAAATCTAGGTGCGTCTTATGGTCAGGTGTGTCTTATGGAGCGAAAAATACGGTATATATTTAAAATTTCAGCTCATTTCATCTGACAGAAACATCACATTTTTGGATGTGATTGCTGATATTTAACTCCTTTTATAAAAAAACAACTATTTTATACTATAAATGTAAGGATAAGTTCACCTTTCGTAACATGTTATACCAATATTCTGGGTGTAACATGTACCATGTTACGATCGGACCAAACATACCCCCCCCGATCCCCATTGTGACAGCTAGAGGGGGATATTTTCTGCCAGCCCAGCTGCGTCGCTCATTCACAGTATTCTGTGCATGGGAAAAGTACAAGTCCTGGCAGCCTTTGCAGCTGTAAGCTTGTAGTTTTTTTCAGTGTAGAACACCATGGTAGTTCATTGAGCCTTCCTGTAAGTAAGTATCTGCTTTCCCATACAGGATGTACGAGCAAGCAGATATACTGACAGGTCAGGAGGAGACCTGCATGGCACCAGTGATCTACTGATCACTGGTGCAATGCTTTAGAGGCTCCACAAATAAAAAATAATCAATGCACATTTTTTACCTGCAAAAAAAATGTGCATTTATTATTTTTGTTAAAAGGTGAACTTATCCTTTAACTGCTTCCCGACCTCCCTATAGCAGAAATACTGCCACAGGGCAGTGCGGGTGCGCAAAATCAGGTATATATAGGTGATTTTGCATTTCCGGGTAGGGGGCCCTACGCGGCCGCAGCTGTCAATCACTGGGTCCCGCCCGGTAATTACGCACCCGGTGATTCCCAAAGATCTCTGACAGGGAGGAGAACTATTTTGTTTACTAACAGTTCTCCTCTCTGTCAGCTCAGGCACACTACTCTGGATGGCTGTGCACAGCACAACCATCCAGAGCAGTGTGATTACAGTGAAGCACACAGACACCGCCCCATAGTAAAATACTCCCTGCACACAGTTAACCCTTTGATCACACCTCATGTTAACCCCTTCCTGCCCAGTGCCATTACTACAGTGCCAGTGCTTTTTTATTAGCACTGATCACTGTATTGGTGTCCCTGAGGATGTCAGTGACATCAAGTCAGTTCCCCCCAGTGTCAAAATGTCCGCCGCAGTCCCGTTATAAGTCATTGATTGCCGCCAACAGTAGTATATATACCACTATTTGTACATGCTATAAGGGCTTAAAATTTCAAGTCCTGAGCTACTAGCCAGGCCTTAGAGTTACTCTCCACCAACAAACACACACAAACAGAGACACCTGTACACACACAGAGACATGTACATACACATACACACACAGAAACATGTACACACACGCACAAAGACACATGTACACACACACATACAGACACATGTATACACACACAGGCACGTACAGACACGCATACACACAGATACATGTACAGACACATGTATGTACATACATACACAGACACATGTAAGTACATACACACAAACACACACACGTACATGTACACACACACATGTACATGTACACACACACAGACACATGTACACACACATACATGTACACATACACGCAGACACACGTACAGATATACACATGTACATACACACAGACACATGTACAATTGTACATGCATACACAGACACACACAAACACACACACATGTACACATACACCCCCCCCATAAAAAGTTGCAGTACTTCATTGTTCACTCACAGAGCCACTCCTTGCTTTGCTTTCACTGCGCTCAGCTATTGAGCAGTCTGACGGCTTCCAGTGCCAATGACAGATCCGGCCTGAGCTCCGAGCCTGCTCAGCAAGATAGCCCTGGGGGACACACTCGCCCCCACCAAAATTTACACTCGCCATTGGCGAGCAGGCGAGTGGAAATTTCAAGCCCTGCTATAACTTTCACATAAACCAATTAGTTTACACGTATTGGGATTTTTGTTTTAGCAAAGACATGTAGCAGAATACATTTTGGCCTAAATTTATTACTAAATTAGATTTTTTTTATTTTTTTACTGGACATGTTTAATTGCAAAAAGTCAAAAATATTGTTTTTTTTCTCAAAATTTTGTTTTATAGCGCCAGAAATAAAAACACACAGGCTATCAAATACCACCAAAAGAAAGCTCAATTCATGGGAAAAAAAGGATGTAAATTTAATTTGTCAGTTAAAGTAACGCAGCGCCGTAACGCAAAAATGGCCTGGTCATGAAGGGGGGTAAATCCTCTGGATTGCAAGTGGTTACAGCAACTTAAAGCAGAGTTCCACCTGGAAAAAAAATAAGTAAAAGTCAGCAGCTACAAAAACTGTAGCTTTAAGCCTTACCTGTCCCTCGGTCGAGCAGTCCTCACCATTGCTGGTTTCAACGGCCGTCTTCTCTCCCTGGCGCCAACATCTTCAGTGTGGGCACCCGGCTGTGACAGCTTGCGGCTTCACAGCCGAGTGCCCACTGCGCATGCACGAGAAGCGCTGCGCTTTGTGAATGGCCCCGTAGTCTTCTGGGACCTGTCACGTGTGTCCCCCCTCCCACTACCTAAAGGTGCCAATCTTTAATGGGGAGTGGGGGACAAAGGTTTAAAGCGGAACTTCCCCTTTTGGGTGGAGCTTCACTTTTAGGGAAAACTACAGGCAGACAATGTCCATATACAGTAAAAAAGATGCTCAGTGATATTCTGAAAAGCTTTAGCACAAGGAAAAGGATATTATTTTCAGTCATTAACCTATACTTTATTTTTGTGAATTGAGCCTGATGAGTACTGCAGCCAACCTACCTAGATATTGTAGTCTGCAGTCTACCCTTTAATCTTTAATTTATTACTATTAAATTACAAAATAGTTTGTATAGAAATTATTTTTGGTATATAGCATAAACCTTTCTACATAAAATATTATATTTATTCTACTCTAGTAAACATAGAGATGATAATACTTTTTAGATAATAAATATTTTTCTTTTTTTTAATAAAGGGCTTGTCAGTGTGTGGTGTGTTAATTTACAGTTACAATTTTTTAATGAATAAGCAGGGGTACGATCTACTCTTACTCATTCATGTGTGTGTGTGTGAGGGGGGGAATCTGGTTCCCTATTACTTTTAAGGGGGTTTCCAGATTCCGATACACCCCCTGGCTGTAGACTCCCACCACCAGTGGGACAGGTGGTTTGCCATGGCAGGCGACCCTCCACATGTTGAGAGCATGTGGCTTGGTATGGTTCAGACAGGAGAGGGTACATACACCAGTCCTCCCCATTTTATTGGTCCATCAGGCTACATGAGGACACCACATCATTTTGGCTTTGTGTTGTGTGTAGTGCCCCAGACAATAAAAGATATAAATAAATAAATAAATAAATAAACATGCATACCAAGCCATACAGAAGGGTAAAGCATAAATTTAGGGGGGACTCCACATTTTTTTCTTTTACAGTACATGGATATGTAACAAAACTGAGGTTTTGCCCTGATGAAGTCACGTGTTAAGCGTGACGATACGCGTTGGCTGTGACGCACTTCAGGTCGGACACCTTCTTTATTTACATTGGACACCCAATGTACATCTGATCTGAGGTTTGATTTACATGTGATGTACAAGATGATTTTAAATGTGAGCATATTCGATATGTGATACTTTGGTGAATAAATAGTTTAACACTATGCAAGCATTCACTTATATTTTCTGAGGGATCAAGTGGCTGCAGCCACCTTATGTGCCTGAAGAGGAGATCTGCTGCCCTGTGAGCCTGTGCTTGAATCTGTACATGAGGGGAGGTCAGTGTGGAGAGCTGTGGAGGATTACCTACTATTAAGGGTGCATGTGTTAGTGATCCTGAAGGCCTTTTGACCCTGTGCGGGTCGCAAGAGGGAGGTGAGCGGGCAATTCAGCCATTTTTGGATATCTCTGCACATTTATCAGCACTTTTTTTTTTCTTCTTCTTCAAGAACTGCTGTGGACTTTATATATGGTTTTTTTGTATATTGTCAGGTGTTTTACACCTCACGGGACTTTATATATTTATTCATGTTTGTTTGCATGATCAGTTCTTAGTTTATGCGTTTATTGGGATGCACGTGTGTTTTGTGTTATATGGTGGGAACTGAATTTTTAGTTCCGGTGGGAGTTTTTTTTTAGCACATTGAGTTCTGTTGCGACTTACTTGTTTGATTTGGAGCACTATTGGATCCCATTGGATTACTTGGGGCACCATTTATGTTATTTGGTCCTTTTAGGACCTCGTATTGACACTTGTTACGTGATTATTTATGAGTTTTTTGGCACTATTTAATATTGTGTGTTTATGTTACTTGTGTCACTAATTTTGCACTGTTTCACTTATTCATTTATGTGTGAAGAATTTTTATGGTAGTAGCGCTGCATCATTTGTGTTTCATTTATAGTTTTTTTGTCTATGGGTATATGACTGTATGTAGCAGCTTTACCTTTGTTGGTAGGTATTAGTTTTTAGGTAGGAGCGCAGGAGTTTGTCACATTGATTCACCCTTAATACATACATACAAAACTCTTAAGGGTCTGGTAAGTATTTGGAGATGTCCCATACTGTCTTTTTACAGAGGAAACCAGCCTCTCAGGGCAATGTTATTTACCAGAAATTTGAGAGTTATTTTTTTACACTAGATGTCAGTTTTCTCTGTACATCATACAGGTGCTCCGCTATACAGGCAAGTTTAAGGCATCTGCCATTTGGGAATTTTATTATTTCACTTTACACATTCTTAAAATCACTGATTCAATGCCATTTTCATAAGAATCCCAAGCATATTAGCCTTGAAAATTATTCAAAATTGATTTGCTTCCCGTTGACTTTAAAGAGGTTCAGATAAACATTCAGAGCTTGTGAGCTGTTCTGTAAACATCATGTGAACTGAACCCAGGTATATTTGGCTCATCCCTAGTAGAGTATTTTGGTTTTCCTTATAGAGTATGTATGGATGTTTTATTGGCATTACACCATATCTCCTCTAATCCTTCTAGCTCATGTTCCCTTCCCGTAGAGCTTTCACATTTACGCACATATTGGTATTTAGAAAAAGAATTGGCAAATTCAGTATTTATGTGGTGATATATGTGTCTAATCAAGTGGTTTGGAAAAGGCCTTCCAAGAAAAATGCCTGTAAAGTAAATATAATAAATGAACAGAGTAAACATAGTGTTTTTTTAAAGGTAAACTGAACAAGAATTTAGAGGGCATGTTAAAAGTATTTTGCAATTCTTGGAATGAAGGGGTCTATATGATCTTATTTATAATGTCATGTCCATAATTCAGAAGAGGGATTTGTCTAGCCAGCGTGGTGAGTGAGGCTAGGAGGTTAAGATGGGATACATGGTCGAGTTGCCTGAAATAAGCCTTTACTATGCCAATGCCACAAAAAAAAGCACAGTGAGGTGTGTCAAGGTGTTGTTCGGCATATTGTAACCGGGCTTCTTTGTTGCATTGGCGCAGTAAAGGCTTCTTTCTGGCAACTCGGCCATGCAGCTCATTTTTGTAAAAAAGTATTGTCGTATCTCTCCCAAACTATTTTTCTGGCTGCTATGGCTGCAATTTTTCCTGGTCTACCTGACCTTTGCTTGGTATCAAGAGATCACAGAACTTTCCACTTCTTAATAAGCATTTGAACAGTACTGACTGGCATATTCAAGGCTTTGGATATCTTTTTCCATCCTTTTTCCATCTTTATAAAGTCCCATTGTTTTGTTACACAGGTCTTTTGACAGTTCTTTTCTGCTCCCCATGGCTCACTATCTAGCCTGCTCAGTGCATCCATGTGAGAGCTAACACATTCACTGACTGTTTATACATAGACACTAACTGCAATTTAAAAAGTCACAAATGTGGAAAATTAACCTTTAATTGCCATTTTAACCTGTGTGTGTCACCTTCTGCATCTGTACCAAGGGCAAACATTCCAGGGTATGCAAACTTTCTATCAGGGCCATTTGGGTGATTTCTGTTATCATTATGATTTTATAAAGGAGCCAAACAACTATGTGTTAATAAATGGCTTCAAACGATCGATCACTATCCTTAAATAAAAGACACAGTTTTTTTGGCATGATTAGTCAAATTTTCAATGTAAATGCCAAAATTTCACAATTTCTGCCACGGTATGCAAACGTTTGAGTGCAACTGTACATTCAAAGAGAAGCATCCCTTGTGCTGGTGGCTGCTGCGTTAGTGGAAATCTTTATGTAGAGATGTGGTGGTTGCTTTAAATCTTAAACAGCAGTTGCAAAACATTTTTTTTTCTTTTCCCTCTTTGTGAGTGACAGACAGGAAAATCAGGACTGTGCTCTGATTGGTTGTTGCTACAGCTCAGAAGGATCCACCCATAGCAGCACTGTTGCAGCTGAACTTATGATTGGCTGTGGAAGAAAGGAGAGAGAAAGAAGGAAGAAGAAACACATGTGGGGAAGGAGACATTTTCAGGGGACGGCATGGAGCAAGGGCTCCTGGTGTAAAGTCACAGAGTCTCACTCTTTGTGCTGCTAGAGCCCCATGGGCTGGGCTGGGAGTGTGTAGCAGAGGAATTGTTGCAGGAGGACAGTGTGCAAATCAAGGATTGTCCTGCCTGACACTCAGGATTGCAGCCACTCAAGTGCATGTGTCTCTCAAAGTTTGGAGCTACTGAAAGAGAGGATTTCTACTACTGTCTAATGCTATCTAGAGGACAATCCAGAAACAGTGAGTACTCTGTGATGAAAGGGGATTTTGATATTGCTGCATTTGCTGTTCATCTCTGGAGAATGGTCATGAGAAAGCCTGCTCTCCAATTCTCAAAGTGACACAGATCTTGGAAAGCCCAAGCTGCTCAAAATTAGCTATTCCTGCTGCTGATTGATGAGAGAACTCTGTCACTGTATATTACTGGTTTGTCTCCTCAA